TCGATACAAGTCTGGTGGTCGCACGGCTCCATAATATAATTGGCAAAAATACAAGAATTCCCTGCATTGGCCTACGATGGGGAATCTGGTGGGTTGCAGTAAAAATGTCAAATATGACTAGTTTTTGTTTTCAAAATGAAATGCTGACATTACAGAATCTATGGTTTTATACTGGAACAGCAGAGAGATTCAAACATTTGGTTTCAATGGGGCAGTTTTGACCACGAAGGTGTTGAGAGGGAGTATCTGCTATTACACAAAAAATAATGATCCAATCATATCAGTTCGGTGGCTAATCTTTGACATGTCCAAGACTCTAATCACCACCAATGTGCCATCCCTATATTATATGTAAAATAACTCGTTTGAACGACTGCATTGACGGCATTTAAAGGGTTAAAATCCTGAAAATGAGATTTTTTTGCGTTTTTGTGCACGAAGGTATTGAAAGGCTACAAAAGAGTTAATGTCATGCTTAGTTTATCGGCACTCTTGAATAGAACAGAACCTGTAACAGCAAATGCTTTTTGTAAAACCTCATTTCTTCTTTTCTTACCAAAACAGTGTGTAAGTGACTGCTGCACAGAAAGACTGTTTCTTTCTACTTCTGTATCTCTCATCGGTTACATCAGACACAAATTAAGGGGGGTGGGGGGGCTGTTGGTGACTGTACATTCCCATGCAACAACAGGAAATAAGGCTGCTGACCACATCGATGCATCAGGCAATGCTGACGGGATGTTATGATTTGATAATATCTCTGAATGAGGGTGTCTGTTTTTATCTAGTTTTATATGTTCAAGATCTGCTGACAGAAAACTTGCAGTTAAAAATAAAATAGCAGACTGAGTTTAGCACAATAATTAGAATCTTTGTGATTAAGACCTGACAAATAGTTTGGAAAATGTGATAAAGTGTTACTACTACTGATAATAATAATAATAAGTATTAATAAGTGTGCCTATGTAATGGCACACTTATTGTCATTGCTTGAAATGGAAAAGGAACAAAACCAGAACTATGTGCAGAAAGGATACCCAAGATAGGAACTGAGAAGATCCGCTTTCTGCTCTTGTTTAGAGGAACTAACCGTTACGTGTGAACTTTGACAGATTGAAGTGGGAAAGGCGTCTAACAAAAAGGCTCTTCAGTTGGATTTGGGGATTTCAGTGAGTACCTGTGCTAGAGACCACGTCAGGATAGGTTACGCTGGTCTCAGGGGGCTACAGAAGGGTTAGGGTTGACCTTTTACCTGTCTGAATGTAAATGTAATGTAAGGAAATTAAAAACATATGCATATGCATAAAAACATAATGAGCTGTTTTCCTAAATCCCACCATGTTTCTGGGTAATCCGGGCATGACAGAGGATAAAGATGACTTTTCCTTTCATGATGCTGCACATTCACACTGATGCTCTCTCTCCCCTCTCTCTGCTTTTTCCAGCCCTCTGTGGTTTCCAGTCTGCCTCTCCCTGCATTGTATGTTACCCACCATTCCTCTCCGCTCCCTCCATGCACTCCTCTGCATAGCCTGGAGAGAGCCTGTCGGTTGACGACTCGATTCCGACCAATGACACGCCGTGTCTGTAAGGCGCAGGACCAGTTTCACCAATAACAGAAGGCACTGGGCGGGACATATATATAGAAAATCACTGGCGCTGGAGAGAGACAGACGCGTCCGTGGAAAGGACCCGTGAGACGAGACAGGTACCAAAGGATCGTTCTCGGCATGGACGTATCAGAGTGACCGGCTGCAGACACTGTCGCTTCGTCCACCTGATCCACCACCGAGCATGTCTACTCCAGAAGAAGCCGGCCAGCGTGAGGAAGGGGAGTACGGAAGGGCGGCTAAGCGGCTCAAAACAGAGGAGACGGAGGCGGATGAGAGAGAGGAGGGGGAAGAGGAGCTGGAGGAAGGAGAGGATTCGGACTCCGGATCGCTACCCGGTAACGGAGAGTCGGCGACAGACAATCGGGCCCGGTGGAGCGCGAGCCAATTCGGAGCAGGACCGAGGGTAAGGAGAGCAGAAATGTTACCTAACGGTACCCTGCGGCACAGCATCACACCGCGCGCATGTGCGCGCGCGCTGTCATGCAGTCTGTGCCAATAGACATCTACCTGTCACACATATGTCGGCGCCGACATCACCGACACAGTGGAGCCTGAATTATGAATCCAGGCCAATTTTTCAATGTAACGCCTGTGTTCATTCAGCCAAAGCAATTATCCGATCAAATGTGTGCTGATAAATGTGCAAAATTTTTACTTTTGATGTTGAATATTCGGTTCTTTCCACTCTATGGTGTCTGTTATTAAGGTTTGTGTATTTCCTTGCAATGCTGTGGTTTCCTCTCAGGTCACTGAATTAACAAACGCAGGTTTTCAGTACAAATCATCGACTTGTTAACGTTTCCTACGCGAAACTCAGAAGCCTAAATTTGGGTTTAACACAGATGTCCTGGTTTCTCTTTGGTTATTCAGCCAGTGTCTCCTGTATCTGCTCATGTTGAGTCCATCTGATATTTACAGTGCCATGAAAAAGTATTTACCCCTTTGTTTCAAGTGATGCTGATAACTGACAAGACATTCATTTCACTCTGAAGAATTTTGGCCCATTTTTCTTTGCACAGTTGTGTGAATTCAGACAAATTGGACGTTTTTCGAGTATGAATGAATGAACCCTAACTGTTATTGTGATTTGGCACCATATAAATAAAACTGAATGCAATTGTTTATGGTCATGCTAAAGCATCTCAATTGGATTTAAGTCTGGACTTTTCACTAGACCACTCAAAGCTTTATTATTATTATTTCTAAGCCATTTAAGGTGGAGTTTCTGACGTGTTTCAGATGCATAACCAAAATGCCAACCAAACCAAAATCTTCATCATAAGGCTATCAACTGATTGCTGGAGATTCTCCTTCAGGATTTTCAGAGTAGAATTCATGATTCCAAGCAAAGCAGCCCCAGGCCATCACACTATTACCTCAATGTTTGATTGTTGGTATGATGTTCTTGTTATGAAATGCTGGGGTAGTTTTATGCTAGCTGTAACGGGACACCAGCCTTCCAAAAAGTTCTGCTTTTCTCTATTAGTCCCCTGAAAACTTTCCCAAAGTCTTGGGGAGCAAGATGGGCTTTTGAATATGTGAGGATGAACCTTTGTTTTTGTTTTTTTATGGTCAGTATTGGTTTTCTCTCCCATGGATGCAGTTTTTGCCCAGTCTTTTTCTTACGGTTGAGTCGTGAACTCTGACACTGACTGAGTTCTGCAGATGTTGTTCTGGATGATTTGGTGAGGGGCTCTTGGGGTCAGCCACTCTCGGCAGGTTTTCTTGATAATAACTCTCACTGTGGTTCTTTGAAGTTACAAAGCCTTAGAAATGGATTCGTAACATTTTCCTGACTAATAGACGTCATGACTTTTTTCTTATTTGTTCTCAAATTATTTTTAGATTGTGACATGATGTGTTGCTTTTTGATTGTTTAGCCTACTTCACTTTGTCAAATTAGCTTTGTAGCTAATCAAATTTGAACTTAGCCTTTCAAAATCAGACTCATTCATGAAGATCCACACCAGATTACCACCAGGATTAGTTGGATCCAGATGAACTTCATTTCATTTTTGGTACAGTTGAATGCATGGACGAGTGGTTTTACAAACTGTTTCTATTTGGATTTCTGTTTGGGTTCAAGAGTTCCCAACATGACCAGTAGAGTGCGATTAAACCTCTCTACTGGGTTTCCTCTTGGATGGTACGGTGTTGTGTGACACCTTTGGACTCCCAACAGTGCACATAACTCCTTTATCAATTTCAACACAAAGTTTGGCCCTTGATCTGTATGGAGTCTTTCTGGAATTCCATAATAAACGATGAAGTTTTCCCAAAGACATTTAGCCACAGTTTTTGCCTTTTGGTTTG